TTGTGTGGCGCATTTGTATTTGGTGCCTCCTTGTACCAATATCTATGTGTTAAGATAAAATAAAATAATGGATGACCCTACTTCTAAGTTAACCCAGTTTATATACGGTGCATTAAAGTCGCCTACTACAAGACTTTTACCGTTGTTACACCAGGACTTAAGTTTACTTAGGATAAAATCATCTGCTACACATTCTGGACTGCGATATACTACAACTAATTCAATATCTCGCCGTTAGCATTTCAACTTACATCTCACCAGTTCACATGTCCCTGAAACATGTGCTACTGTCTCAGCTAATCTTATGGTTAGAATACTTTTCGTGTACAGAATAACCCCGCCTCCTCTACGGTTTAATCTATCAGCACTACTGGTTATGAAACCAGTCAACTGAATTTCACTACCTAATATTTCTGACGCTAACCAAGTTTCCGAGACAGCAATAACGTCCGGTTTGTCTTTATCCACCACTGACTTGATCTCAGCCATTTTACTTCGTAGGCTGCGAGCATTTGTGTAGCGTACCTTTAGGTCTGTGTAGAGCTTTCCCTTGCCACCCAGAGTGGCTCGGAGATCGTTTTGCTCCGAACTTTTACAACTTGAAAACCCTTAAGAACAAGGTTTCGTTCCCCGTTTTGGCGACTTTCATTTATTTTCGCCTCTGAAGCTCGTCTCTTAATAAGATCAGCTAGGCTGAGATCCTCACGGACATATATTCCGGATCCTATCAGTTTAAGTGAATTACTTAGAATCAGTTTCAGTTTCAGTTTGGGAAGGACAGGAGGCTCTATGGCCTATGTTAGTCCTGGCAATGGTGGTCTCTCAGTTGATCCAACTTTCTTTTGAAAGAGTCGACGGATGGAGCCTCAACCACGTGCTGAGGTAGTGAATTCCACTCGTTGATTATTCGATGGGAAAGTCGATAGTCAGCTGACAAGTAATTTGTTCTCGGCTTGTGAACTTTTTTGGAGTGTCCTCGTAAATTCTCTGTTTTGGAAGACAAGAAAAATGAGGGCATGTTAGGTGCAAATTTATCACTAAGCAATTTGTAGACTGTAATCAAGTCACCTCTAGTTCTGCGATAAGATAACGGGAAAAGGTTCAGCTTGGCCAGTCGAGATTCATACGGAAGCTTTGCTATTCCGGGAACCAGCTTAGTCGCCGTTCTCTGAACCTTTTCCAGAAGCTCACTGTCTTTTTTTAAGCAGGGGCTAGCCGCTTGTATGCAGTACTCAAGTTTAGGACGAACGAACACTGTATACAAAGTCAAAAACGTCTTAGCGTCGACATGACTAAAAGCCCTACGTATTGACCATAACGATCTAAAACTTTTGGCGACTATTGCACGGCAGTGTGCAGTAGTCTTTAAGTCTTGACTAACGATAACGCCTAAGTCATTATATGTCTGGACGACAGGTAGCTCAGTGTTATCCATCATGTATGTATTTGTGCCTTGATGACCGATATGCATCACAACACACTTGGAAGTATTTATCGGCAACTGCCATGTTTGAGACCATTCAGATAACTTCTTCAGGTCATTTTGAAGTTCTAAGCTATCACTCTTACATCGTATCGCTTTCCATATCTTGACATCGTCAGCATATAGCAAGACCGATGATGATAGGAGACAAGGAAGGTCATTTACATACAAGAGGAATAGCACTGGCCCCAAAACTGTACCCTGGGGCACTCCACTAAGCACAGTTTCCCAGCTAGATAACTTTGAGTTCACCCGAACTCTTTGTTGACGCCCAACTAAGAAGTCTTTTATCCACATCAATAAATTGCCTCCAATCCCGACTTTTCTTAACTTATATAACAGCCGGTTGTGCGGAACTTTATCAAAAGCTTTACTGAAATCAATGAAGGCGACGTCTACAGGTAGCTTTTGGTCCTTAAGAGCGCACCAGCTTTCACGAGCCACTAATAAGTTAGTGAGACAAGAATAACCTATTCTGAAGCCGTGCTGCTTCTCCGAGAGGATCCGGTTTTTATCGAGATACTTAAACAGCTCTTCCCTAATAATCTTTTCTAATATTTTAACAACCACACTAGTTAGGCTAACGGGGCGGTAGTTTTCAGGTTTGTGTTTCGTACCTGTTTTGAAGACAGGACTTACTATGGCGTTTTTCCAATATTTCGGTAAGCGACCCTGCGTAACGGATAGGTTAAAGCATGTACTTAAAGGGCTTGCAACGAAGTTAGATAATTCCTTTAGTAGCCTAGGATGTAATTCATCGGGCCCCGTGGATTTACCTATATCAAGCTTATTTAGCAGACCAAAGACATCGAGTTCTTTAATGGTCACGCTATCCAGTTTATGTGTGGGGGGATCTGTATACGCTGACGAGAAGGGCGCTTCTATGGTATACACGTTGCTAAAGTAGTTCGAGAACGCTTGAGCCTTACCAAAGTCGTCCTCCACTAATGATGAAGCAGTACTGTCTCCCCATAGAGCAGGAATATTTCCTTTTCTCCTTGTCCTTTGGTTTATATAGGAATACAAGCGTTTAGGACATTCTATGGATTCCTTTACAAGTTTTTCTTCGTACAATTTTCTAGACTTACGGAGGGTCGAGGCACAAGTGTTCCGAGCCTTTCGATACTGAGATTTTGCCTCATCAGTCCCCAGTAACCTAAATCTATCCCACATCTTCCTTTTCTTACGGAGAAGAATACGGACCTCCCTACTGAACCATGGTGGAGAGTTTTTCGGTCCCTTTGGTATAGTCCAAGGGATGTGAGGTGTGGTAACTTTTAAGTATGAATTTCAAAATGCGTCCCAGGCCGTTTCAATGGAGGACTCTGGGTCTATTGTCCAATCTATTAACGATGCTGAGTGCATGATGGCTGGTATGTTTGCTTTCCAGACGTTGGGTCTGGACTGGACTGATGCGTCCTCATGACTGACAGTTATATGGAAGTCGAAAGTTAAAACTGCGTGGTCACTTTTACCTAAGGGTGGCATATGTTGGAGGTTCGCAACATCATCCTCATAGTGAGTCAGTATAAGATCTAATAAGGATGATTCAGTGTCCGGATCGTACCTTGTCGCTTCTTTCACATGTTGTATTAGAGCACATGTGATAATCCCATCAACTAGTTCCTGCTCGAAAGAATTCTCCGACGATTTAGTTCGCAGATTTTCCCAGTCTACCATAGGTGCGTTAAAGTCCCCTAGGATTAGACATCGACCACTTTGGGATTTAGTATTGAGACTGCTTAACAGGATCTCATTTGCCTCACAGCTTGAACTGCGATAGACCAAACCAATCATCAGCTTCGTGCATTGGTGTAACAGATCCGAAGCCTGTTTAAGTGCCTTCGTGTTTCACCCAGAGTGGCTTCGGCATCATTCTCTGTCGAAGTCTTACAACCCGAAAATTTACAATTTTCAGGTCTTTTTCGCCAGCGTCTAACCTATGTTGTAGTTCTTTCTCGGCTTCCCGTCTTTTACCACGGTCTGCCAACGGTAGGTCCTTTCGAATAAAGACTCCTGAGCCCTTTAATTTGTGCCCATTTTGTAAAATTTGGTCACGTTCGTTCGAAGAGCCGAATACTACTTTAAGCAGTCTGGAATGATTTGGTTTCGAGTCCGTTAGACTCCCTAGTCTGTACACCTTTAGCAAGGTGACCCCGGTCATATTTTGAGGCATGAGTTGATTAAGCAGCTGCCTAATCAGTACAATGTCATGCTCAAAACGAGCTTTAGGTTCAGAGCTATCGCTCTCCTTGATTCTATGAAAAATAGCTGATCTGTCGCTATGATCAGCTTTCGATTTTTCAACCACTTTTACGGGAGCAGGTTTCCCTTTTATATCCCTACTTCTCTTCCTCGCAACCTTTACCCATTCCTCAACGGTGCTGGTAGAAGCAATAACAGTTGCGTCAAACTCAGTGTTGGGTTTTGGGGGGTTGCCGACGACCTGATGGGTCGTGTTATGTTTACCGTTTGAAACCGATCGAGCCTTGCGATTGCGGCTTCTAGGTGTTTCCTGTTGGATCCCATCTGGGAGACGGGGAACAGAAGACCCTACTTTTCTTGAGCTTTTGTCTAAGGCAGGCCTCTTTAGAGACTGCTTTTCCTTCTTTGACAGGCTTGAGTCATCTACCATCGGACTAACCTTAGTTCCCTTCACGTTGATTTGCGTGTCGACAGATCGAGTGCTGCTTGACGCGTTCCGACTATGCTTGCTAAAGCACTTCTTTGCAGCATCAACCAGTGAGATGGCCTCGGTTAGCAAGCTGTTTGCATCCGAGCAGCACTGTTGACAAAGCCACAGACAACTCTTTTTACTGTACCGTTTGAAAGCAGCAGGCGTTAATTTCGTGCAGACTTCGTGGTACCAGCCTTTGCACTCGTCGCACTGCATCCCGCTTTCAACAGGATAGCGACAACCGGGACGTTGACAACTACTTTTTTTACACTGTCCGGTCATTTAAGAGGGGTTCTTTTTTTAAACTGTGAGGATACTCAGAAACAAAAAAAACAGTTATCAATGACCAAAAGTGAAGAGCGGTAGATTGCTAGGACCAAAAGTACTAACAGATACAGTTGAATAAGAGGTACTCAAGAGTACCAACGACAAAACAGTAAAAACGATACTTTAGTCAAATTCTTTAACTGAAATAAATTCAATTAAAGTGAAAACAGTAGTCTTGATACGTAATAAACGATCAAAACAAACAAATTTACTCAGCGAGGAAAAATACCACTGTCCTTTTAATCAGGTTCCTTTCTTCCACCGTGTTGAATGTAACCTTCAGAAGGCGGTTTTTCGGAGGACTTTCGGAACCCATCTTTTCTCCTATCCTATAAAGCTTACAAATACTGACTACTGAAACTGTCTGTTCATGTGGCAATAGCTACATGAACACTTTATATCACAAAAAATTAGAGTACCATTCAGGCTATTGTAGACGAATCCACGCACTGCCCAGCATTATACAGAAATTCCCCAGAAATATTTGATACCTTTAAAGAAAAAACCTTGTACCTGTGTCACGGATATCTTGTCCATGCACTTATGTAACGCAACAGTTGAAGATGATAAGTTTAGTTATCAATGTTATATTATTTTGATAAATGTTGGACATTAAATAGTCTTGGTCCTGATAGTTGCTATGAAGACCATACAACACAAAGGACGTTATTATGAAAGTGTATTGGTAAGAATGAGTGCAGAGAAGATAGCGAGACAACCACCGCATGCGCCATTCCATGGCATACGATTAATATATGCGGGTTGGTTATTATTATCATTATGAGTATTATTATTATTATTGCCATTATTATTATTCACAAACATTTTATGGGTACATAAGTGTTCAAAAGAAACCATGTTGGTTTTCGTCAAAAACGCAATAATACACAAGTTTCAATAATGTTAGCATAATATTTGCCACATTTGAAAAAGAGAATAATAATAATAAAATAATAATAATAATAACAAATCAGGTTCTGCGTAAGTGAGAAGAATACTTAATCGAGTTTAAAGAAGTAAAGGGAGAAAATAAGGGAATAGAAATAAAGGAAGCGCTTAATAGGCGTGTTTATGAACACAGAACAAGAATGAACGACTATGTATATATTGTCAAATTAGTAATGAAAGTAAATTGGAAAATAATTATGGAAAATTAACTTATTATTTCAGTAAGATATGACGCTAGAATAAATGTTTGTGCAGTTATAGTTTGCAGTGATGCTATGAAAGTCTCAATCAATTAAGTGAAAAGGATAACGAAATATCACTATGTATGAGTCATATATGCATAGTGAAGATAAAACGAATCTGAGAAGTTAATTTAAGTGTAACACAAGTTTTCGACAAAATTATTTTCATGGGGTAAAATGCACCTGATATACAAGATAGGATTATAACCTCAATACAATACAGCCTACAAAAAGACGAGTCGGAAAATTTCTAAACCACGTGAAAAAATGTTACCACTTTCAAATTTCTCCTTACGACCACGTAACAAACTGCAGTTAGTTGACCCACGAATAGCTTCTGTCACGAACTAATGGCATTGATGCTAATTTCTTATGCCAAATACCCCTTTGACTTGTGTCTGTGACCTAGAATTCGTTTCATTTCCCACTGAGAAATCCCACTGCAACCAATACCGGACAATTAATTTAAATGGGAGTCCACTAGAGAAGCTAGCCGGTTGATACTCGAACACTCCGTCTTCCTTTCTAACTTTTTAAAAATACACAATCCTAAACTTTCTGCTCTTCTGAATCACCTACATTTACACAATCCTATGTTCACTGAATGCCATGCTTCCCATTGTTTTCTTTAACCTCCTGGAATATACTTGCTTAAAATTCTGACCTAGCTAGAGAGCAGAAGTCTAAGTAGTCACACCTTATTTATCCCATCTCACTATTATTATTATCATTATTATTATTATTATTATTATTACTATTATTATTCACAAACATCTTATGGGTACATAAGTGTTGTGAAGAAACCATTTCGGGTTTCTTCAAAAAATGCAATAATACACGATTTTCAATAATATTAGCATTATACTTGCCATAATTAAAAAAATTTAGAGTAATAATAGTACAATATTAATAATAATAAATCGGGTCTGTGTAATTGAGAAGAATATTGAATTGAGTTTAAAGAAGGAAATGGAGAAAATAAGGGAATAGAAATAAAGGAGACGTGAAATACGCAAACAGTTTAATTGGCGTGTTTATGAACACAGAACAAGATTGAACGATTGTGTATGTATCGTCAAATTAGTAATGAAAGTAAATTGGAAAATAGTTATGGAAAATTAACTTATTATTTCAGTAAGATATAACGCTAGACTAAATGTTTGTGCAGTTATAGTTTACAGTGATGCTATGAAAGTTTCAATTAAGTGAAAAGGATAACGAAATATCACTATGTATGAGTCATATATGCATAGTGAAGATAAAACGAATCTGAGAAGTTAATTTAAGTTGTAACACAAGTTATTGTCTCGATCATAAACCTCGTAAACTTAAGAATAATATTCATTTAGATGGAAAACAGAGAGAAATAAACACCTAGTGAAAGAGTTCGACCGTGATAATAGTAATAATGATAATTTTGTAATCAATATCGACCTCTGAAGTAAACCAGAAATGTAAAAAGAAATAAGACAAAAAAGCACCCTTTACTGAGCTCGGATAAATACATGTAGATTTATGTAGTAGTAGTAGTAGTAATAGTAATAGTAGTAGTAGTAGTAGTAGTAGTTGTAGTAGTAGTAGTAGTAGTAGTAGTAAACAGAGTGAAACCGGACATTATTATAAACTTTTGTACAACAGTAATTTAGAAGTATGCTATGAAATTCACAATTAATTCCAAAGGATAACCAAATATCAGTTTCCATGTGTTATATATATGTATGTGATGAAGATAAAATGAATCTGAAAAGTTAATTTGTTTAAGTGTAATATAGGATAATATTTTTTGTTTTCAATTATAGACTTTGAATGTTTATGAATATAATATATTTAGAATGACAAGAAAAGATAAAAAGAATACCTAATGTGTTGAGGGACTAATAATGATATTAATAACAGTAATAATTATAAATACGAACACAAGCAGACTTCATATATTAAGATGAATAAAAATAAGAACAAAATAGACGCTGAAATTTCCGAAGGCTATACTTTGCTTTTCAGTCAATTAGATGGATGACGGACCTCGTTTGTATAAATCGTTAGTAGACACATTGATATTCAATAGGCGACATAATCCACTTTCATAAAGAAAATCATCAAGGTGACTACTGAACCGCGATGTAGCTTCACTGCAACGGAGGTTCACTGGCAGTCTGTTCCACACAGTTGAATAGCGAATAACGAAAAAATTCTGGCGTAAGTTTGTATAGGTTCTTGGAATCTCTAGAATATTCTCCTTATTGCGTAGATTGTGGGATGATATCATAGAGTATGAAGGTGTGGATACCAAGGAGTAGGGAATACCGTTAATAAGCCGGTTGATAAGAACAAGGTTTAATTAGATACGCCTGATCCGGAGAGATACTAATTTAAGTTGTTGATATTGTAAATTACAAACGTAGATGATCTATGCCGAAATGAATGAACGCCTACTCGAGTTAGACGTGAGCGGTGTGACAAACTAGCTAACATCTAAGTCATACCTCGTGGTCAGCGCTCTACGTGGACTACCCCATTGACGTATCAAGGTACCATAGATGCTTTGAAGGGGGTACAACACAGAAGACGTTATTACAGAAATATATTAGTTAAAGCAAATACAAGCGAAAGTAAGACCACTGCCGCATGGGCCAGTTCACGGCATACGATTAACTGATGCGCGTTGGTCGCCCCTGACCTTTACGAGGATCGATGATTCGCTCGATATTCAATGACCCAACTGCAGGATGATTTAGCTAGGGCTTAGTGACATTTCGCTGGCTCTACATCATCTTTGTTGATAATCCTTGCTGTCGGAACACCCCAAAACAGCTTTGGTCAACCTTCAATCTTAATCAGATCATTATGCCTGCAATTACGGTAAACTAAAATACCATATTCAAGAATGGGTAACATACATTTTCTGTATAATAGAAATCTCGATTCTATATTATTGAAGTTTATCATTATCAATCCGATGAGCTTTCTAGCTTTGGATACTTGAGATATAATGTGTTCAGAAAAGTTCAGACTGTTGCTATATTTTAAACCCAGGTGTTGAGAGGTTTCAGTGTATGTGTCTGTACAGTGAGATTTAAGTTAAGTCAGCGACCAATGTGAATAAATCCACTTTTGTCAACATTAAGTGGCATATTCCACGAAATAGTCCATTCGTACAACTTGTTTATTTCCTCTTGGATTACCGCCGAAATATAGCTTTCTTTTGTTGGAGAAGAGAATGAATAAACTACTTTCAGGTCATCAGCAAAAAGGAAAGGCTTGCCATACTGAAAGAGGGAACACACATTATTGATAAAAAGGAGAAAGAGTAATGGACCAACCACACTTCCTTGTATAAACCCACTGGTTACATTTACAGGTTTAGAGTAGCAAGATCCAAAGCGAACGATTTGGCTATGTTCTTCTAAAAAAGATTTGAGCCAAGATAAAAGGGGATTCTGTATGCCAAATGAAGAGAGTTTTAAAAGAAGACGTTTGTGTGTTTAGGGTTGCAAAGATTCAAAGCGAGCAAGTCGACTACGTTATTCTAAAAAAGATGTGAGCCAGGATGAAGGGGGATTCTGTGTGCCAAATGAAGAGAGTTTTAGAAGAATTTTGTGTGAGATACTGTCGAAAGCCTTGCTAAAATCAAAGTAAATAATTATCACTGACTGACCAACATCTCTTCTCTGGGTAATTTGATCAAAACATTCCAGGTGCGATGTGAAGCATGAGCGTTTAGTTATAAACCTGTGTTGGGATGAGCTAATCGGACTAGCCGAAAGTAGAAATGATAAGGGCGGCCTGCTTGAGCATTTGGGCTACCTGTTCCTGCCATCTAGATATTTCAACAAGTTATCTATTTTTGTTTGTTTTAATGTATCGTTATGTCTATTAATCGCATAAACTATTCTGCTGCGTTTCTGAAAAGTGCACAACCTTTCCTCGTCAAAGTTACAAAAAACTCAATAAGAGACAATGTGGTTGCTGGAAATATACAACGAAAAGAATGCACATTATTCAGATGTTCATTTACTGGACTGTTAACATCTAACTGGCGATCACTCAATATTTATCGCAAGGACCGACCAAGCAGAAAGAAACGGAAACTTGTTAAAATACTTTACGCTGAAAATTCTATATTGTACCAAAAATGTAATATTGATTAAAGGTAATAATATTCTCAATAATAGTTGTCTGTGGATGATTTTTTCCATAGTTCTGAATTGCATACACGTCATTATGCTCGTCGTAGCGGTGTTTTAATTTCCTCAGCCTTCTTCTAAACGTTTTAAAAGTATTCTGGCTCCTATTAGCATTATAAGCCACATGGCCAATAATTGGAACAGTGCAGTCAAGGCAATATATCAGGTTGTGGTATAGATTTGAAAGCTCAGTG